ATAAATCAAGAACCAAGCCTCTTTATTTAAGCGGATTTCGTTTTGACTCAAGCAAAAATCCGATTGAATCAAGAGTATTTTTTATTGTCAATGTTTTCAAGAGTCTGGAATCTAGATCCAATGTGTTTTTTTCCAGTGTTCTGTATTTTATACAATCAAATCAAAATAAGGGGGAAGTCCCTCATAATATTGACTTTGAAAGGACCTAAGTCCACGGAGGCGACATTTTGAAACACCGTAATCACCGAAAAAAAAAGTGAAGTTGATTTAACATTTTGAATTATTTTTTTTTAAATAAAAGTGCGCGAGAACTCACAAAATGCTGAATTATCCACCACAACAATTAGTTTTACATCTTTGCATTGCTAAAGTAACTGCTGTAGCGGTTAATTCAGCATTTTGTAAGTTCTCGTACGCTTTTTTTACATCCAGAATGTTATGTCAACTTCACTTTTTTTCGGTGAAGTCTTCTGAACCGCGCTTTGCTTTCGCTGGGTTCTATGAGCCGGGCAGCGGGCCGATTACTGGAATTGATAGACAAAGCTATAGACAAAGAAGACATTAGAAGTATGGAGCGATCCTATCGGTTGAAATGGGTAGTTCTTGTAGACTAAGGGAGAAAATGATGGACTAACTATCGGGTCTCTCGTGGGTTGCCGTAGGTTAGTCTATTACCTACGTCCTTTGTCCATTGCAACCACCCGCTTCTACCAATAGAATTCCTCCATATCCTTTTTTCCCTCTTTGTCTATCAATTTCAATGATCAGTCCGCAGAAGTGCATTGCTAACAGTTGCACGGTCGAAAGATTGTGGCATCGGCTCCACGCGACCAGCAGTACCCATACGCTGCCGTGCTTAGGAAGAACGCCGTATGAACATTCAAATGTTGCCAAATTTCCTATCAAAAACTATTTAATTTTGGAGAAAATTTTGAATATTTATCCTTGCAATTTTTAGATTTTTTAGATCAATTTACGAACAAAATCCTCTGTAAAATTTGAGGAGAAATATTCACAAATTTTCCCGAAAATTCATGATTTTTTGAGGGAGAGTTGGCAACGCCTGAGAGCTCATACGGTCTTTTTTCATAGCACGGCAGTGCGGTTGAAAGAATATTTTCGGAAACTCTCTTGCATTTCTCGGCGAAGATTACTTAAATAGGAGATCAAATCACGAACTTTGGACTCGCTTCTTTGCCAATACCGTTCTTTAAAATTTGGGAAAATTTGGCACTGAATGCAGGCTCTATTTCTCAGAAATACAAGAATTAAATATTTGGAAAACTGCATCTTGCGTGTTACCATCAGTAAATAAAAAATAAAAATAAGAATGGGCTAAAGAAAATTGGTTTTCATCAATTTTAATGTGCATTGTGATACATTTTTGGTTATTTCATTTCTTAGGTTTCTGTTTTGTTTTCTTGCTGAGGATGGTGCCTCACCGAAATGCATCGACGAATCGAGAATAAACTTAGTTAAACCAAACCTATGGGTGTTTTGGTTTGTTCTATTTTTTTAATCAAATATTTTAAACGAGGTCATTTAGCATGCGCCAAAAATCAAAATAAAACAAATGTCCACTTGGTCTGTACAAATTCAATTTTATTGCAAGAAATAATGATTCCAAAATAAATAAATAAATAAACAAAATAACAATAAATTAAATAATTTAATTACGATTAAATAGCACAGTAAAATATGTGTTTCACGGCACAATGGAAACCTTAAACTAAGAGAATAACGGTTGAATGTGTGAAAGAGCCGTGGCTTTCAAAGAGTGCCAGTGTACGTCTCGGTTTTGGAACATAGCATTCGAATCATTAGGGGATCCAACGTTTTGGCAACACTGGATTTCGTCCATTTAAGCCTTTGGAAATGTATCGATTCTTGGAAGCGCCAGGAGCTCCGACAAGAATCGATTATTTATCATAAGTTTAAATGGAGGAAATCCGGTGTTGCCAAATTGCTTGATCCGCTTCTGATTCGAACCAATAGTGTGCAGGACCAGTATTTGATAAAGCTTCACAATCATTGTACGATGTTGATGTAGACGGTTCCAAATTTTAACGGTAAAAACCTGGAATAAATATTTAAGTTATTCGTGATTTGTCGATACCAAGTCAACCACACATTTCCTCATTTAACGAATTTAAAGCACTAATATTCACAAGACAGCAAAAAAAAAAAATTGGCAGTAAATAAAATGTTAATGACGAAATTACATATACATGTCCGTAATTATTGTTAGCTCTTAAATTTACTGGCAGGTAAAAAATATTAGGTACTTAAGACTATCCTAATTAAATATTTGATTTGTACATTCATGATCACGATAAAAATTGTATCACTTACATTTAGATGAACGACAGATAATGATATGAAAGGTGAATGAGCTTTACGTAAAATATCAATTATGAATTAGAAAGCTTCAACACTTTATGTGTGCGTCATAATTATTTTTATGTCAGTGATTGTTTGTGTTTGCTTTTTCTATTTTCCATTTTTTTTTAAATAAAAAAGTCATGCTATTGAAGAAAGATATACTGAGCTTTGATTAGACATTTAGCGATTGTACTTTTGTTTCGTAGTTCAGTGACTTTCATTCTTTAAAAAAAGGTAGAATGTACATAAGAGTATAGTCTCTTTCTTCCAGCATGTTCCAATTTTCAAGTATTTTTTACAAAAGTACCTACTGAGTATACAAAGAGGCCCGTCTGGTTTTGCTTATCTACTCGTAATCTAACAAATCACACTTTGAAAAAGCCTAGTACTTACAAGAAATTGAGCTACAAATCAATAAAACAATAAAAACAATAACACAACAATCTCACATATTAAATTAATCATCTGCCTTTCTCAACAAAAACAATTTTACGCAGCACGTGTAATAAACTAGATTTTTGGTGGAAATTTGAGATGTGCTTTCCACTCACAGCAAATAAAATCGCAAAATTGGCTGTGGATATGTTATCTTTTGCAGACCATCGATCGGTTGTAGAATGTTCTTAATTTTTCCATTTTTTTTTAAAAAATAGTTTTTTTTTTTATTTCAGTAAAAAAAAAAACCAACTTATCAAATTTGAGAGAGTGACTAAGGAATTTACATTTTTGATTTTTTCGGATACAAATTCACAGCACATTACTTTATGAGTTTCGAGTACTCAATATAATGAGTGACATTTGTTCTCATGATCAACCCATGAGTGTGCGAGTATTAATTGAGTATTATGCAGTCGCTGAGTATACGCTTCCGTGCTGAGGAAGAAGCGTATGAACCTTCAGACGTTGCTAAATTTCCGCCGACAAAATTGATAGTTTTTGAGAAAAGTCACGAGTATTTTTTCTTGAAATTTGCAAACAATAAAGATTCAATTTTGGACCATTGAACAAAAAATTGGAAGGAAAATGTTCACAACTTTCCTCGGAAATTTGTGTTTTATAAAACGATATTTGGTAGCAGGCTCATAGGTGGTAGGCAGCATAGGTGCAAGGTTCGCGCGTATTAATGACTTGAAATCATCAGGGAATAACAATCATGAAAACAACCATACTTTAACATCAAGCGAAGTGCTTTTGCAGAAACGCAATTGAAACCCCGATTCCTGATGCTGATTTAATTTACTATTTTCAGCTTCCAGGAGACTTTTCCGTGACAAAGAATAATGCGAACACGCGGGCTATCTATTTTGACATCCATAATGATGGAATACAATCAACTATAACAATTGGTTTCAAATCGATGTATCAAAAATATATTTGGAATTGCCATCTTCCACCTTGCAAATACTGAATTGGGGGAATACAAGCAAATAAAACCATGTTACGAAGGAAAACTTCCTCTCTTGATAAAAATGCGTTCGATATAGTGATGCAGTCATTTGGTAATATCAAGGATTAGCTTCAACCCTCTTCCTACTGCCTGCATGTCTAAATGAAATTGATTGTAGGAGACCTATAAAAACATAAGTGGAAAAATATATGAACTTATATCAAATTTAATTTTTAAAATTGATTAAGGGCATTTCCACGATACTTATTCAGAGGTACTTTAAATTGTAATGACGCTCTTGAGAAGCATTTTATTTTTCTGGACAAGTTTACTTGGTGAGGAAGTAGTTTCCGCTTCCATTTCCTCCAACGGGGAAAGAAACATCCGTTATTCGAACTGAATTTGTCAGTAGGCGCTCTAAGGTTCGAAGGCATGACCCCACTGTATTTCAGCTCGGTGAATTGTAAGTTAAGTTCAACGAGCCCAAATCTAAGTTCACCGAACTTAAGACTTTGGTTAACATGCAAAATGTTCTGTATAGACCAAAATATTCGGTTCAGTGTGCTGAGACTTCGGCTCGTTGAACTAAATCTTCGGCGCACTGAATTAGAGTTCAGTTCTGCCAAATAATTAGGCAATTTGCTTGATCGAGGGCTCAAACGTCTGGAACAAAAAGCAACTACTAAACTGTTTGGTTGTTTTCTTCTTCGTGCATCAAAATGGAACCCTGCCTACGCTACCCCTCGTGACAGCTGATTAAAATTTTCGTTTTGTCCGCATACTTATTCTTATCCCTTATAAAAACACCCTCCCTTTACTGTTATGCTAAAGAAGAACGATGTGTGAGCATTCAGGCGGTAATTCTCTTCAATGTAAAACGAATTCACCGGGAAAATTATGAATATTCTCTTTCCTATTTTTCAGATAATTTTGTTGGCAATTTAATCTACAGTACCTAAAAATTTCAAGGAAAAATATGCATTACTTTCTTAAAAAATAAATGTTACACTGGAAAAAAAAACTTATTGGATCTAGAGTCCAGACTCTTAAAAACATCGACAAGAAAAAGTACTCCTGATTCAATCAGAATCAAGCTTAAATCAAGAACCAAGCCTCCTAATTCAAGCGGATTTTGCTTTGATTCAAGCAAAATCCGATTGAACCAAGAGTATTTTTTCTTGTCAATGTTTTCAAGAGTCTGGACTCTAGATCCAATGTGTTTTTTTCCAGGATACACTCGGGGGATTTCGCCAACCTTCGAATATTCATACGGCATTCTTCCTTAGCACGGCAGTATGAGGGTGAAGGTGCTCTGCGCGGAGATACAGTGACTCAGACTAAGGGTAGAAACTCTGGAGCGTATCCGAATACAACGAATCATACGCATTCCTCAGCAAGAAGATATCGGTGGGCCTCCCGTTGAACTTGTACGGACCCTTATTCAAATAATACAAATCCGAGTCTCCGGGTTTCTTCGGCGGTTTTATGACGGCCGGCCTGACGTCATTCTGCGTGGGCCGCTGCTGCCAGGACTGGTTCTGCTGCCACCCCCACTGGGGCGCCGGTGCCGGGGTCGTCCACTGGTTCTGCATGGGTTTCGGCCAAACCGGTTTATCGTGCTCTATCGTGTAAATGCCCGTCGGTTTGCCGTTCGACACGAAGTTGACGGGGACGTTGACGATCGGCGACTGGGGTTCGGACTGAACCACGGGGGGTAGTCGGAGGTTCGGGGGCTGCGAGACGTAGCCCACCCCGGGGACGAACATATACGGGGTGGGGGGAAGCCGGATGTAGTAGATGTTGGAGTCGCCTCGTATCGAGGTGGGCCGCGCGCGGGATAGTTCGTCGTTGGCGGCTAGTTCCGCGTCATAGTTCGCGGCGTAGTTCTTGACGGCATCGCTGCCGAGCTGGTCGTAGTAGACGGAGTCGATGTCGTCGGCGAGGTTGTTGTAGTCGGACGAGGCGAAGATGTCCAGGTTGGTGAAGTCGAGGGCCTTCCCTTTACGACCTGAGCTCTCCGAGGAGGAGGAGGCAGAGGTGGAGGGAGTGGGGAACCCGTAGGAGGGCGCGATCGAGAGGAGGACGCATATAACGCCGATGAGCCACTCTGACGTCATGCGGGTGCGCGGCTCGCATGTGTGGTGGTTGTGGCGGGGTCGCAGGGGCGATGGCTCCATCTTGGTGAGGAGGTGGCTTGGAACTTGACAGTGAGTGAGATGTTGGTTCTGAAACAGACAGAGGGAGGTATGAATGAGACTTAGTGCAAAAAGGGTTGAAAGGAATAATCATACAAAATATGAACTGAACCGATAGAGTGTTGTGTATGGAAATCAGCAAAGTCATTGACAGTTTAGACTCACAATATTATCATCTGTCGAGTTGTGTAGACGACGCAAGAGACTTTAACGCACGGTTAGAAAAAATAACCCCGGTGTCTTAGTGATCGCGTCATCGTTAGACAGGAAAACAAGAGATAAGAGAGAAGTTTATGGTTGGATTCACTATTCAGAGAAGAGAAACAAAATATAAATCGTGCTTCTCAACATTTCCAGTTTGAAGTCACTCTTCAGAGGTAATATATTTTCGAGACTCCACACTGATATATTCCCTATGGTATAAAAGGCAAACCTAAGATTTGCCTCATATCATATGACTAAAAAGCGATGACTCGTTAACGCCTTCATGACGCCTTAATGTGAAAATTCGTGCTCTATGGATGTCCTTGCTACATATGTAAAAAATTGAAGGCGCTAGAATTCCTTTTTCTTGCCGTCACAATGAACCTAGAGCAGAGACTTCACATCATGGCGCTATCAACAGTACATAAGTTACTTTCGGAAGCCGCTGTTCAGATTTTGCATAATGTTAATAGTAGACCAAAAAGTCGAGCAACTGATTCAACAATCCGGACCTAATTTTGAAAAAACTCGCTCAGCACAGTGACATCTCAACATTAATTAGTCATCATTACGCCAATTTTCTTTAGATATTTTGTTCGACAGCTTTCTTATCAGCTATTGCAGGGCAAAAAACAGCGTTGACCTCTAGGATTAACGTTTGCTTTAATACCCCACCGCATTGCTCAAATTGGTAGTTCAGGGACCCTAGGATATGAACTCTCATGTATAAGTTTCTATGCTTTCTAATATTCACTTGGGTATAAAAAGTGACTCCATGAAAGCGTAAAGAAAGCACGCATTTATACTTACGCAGTAGAAAGTGATCGGAATACGACATTTTCATAGTAAATGGACAGCTTCAACGAGAGAACATCTCGTCCAAATACGAGTAGCCAGTATGCTGAAGAAGGCTAATTTCTGAACATTAAACGGGGTCAGCATAATTTTGCCGGCATCGAAACGAGAGAAAATAAACTCGATTCTGTTTCGCTGCACAATCCGGCTGACTTATAAGGTCACGCGGGAATGGAACTTTACTCAAAGGACCCCGCAACAAATGGGAAATGTTAAAACAAAACCGATGTACGAATCGAAACTCGACCGAGAGACTGGATTCGATCAGTGACATGTTGCCGGTTCGCTGCGAAATGAGAGGGACGTTCAACTCTAAGAATGCTCCATTAAATGCGTGCGTTGGTTGAAATGGCAACAACGTAGCGTATAAACTAAGCAAATAAGGAGCTTGTTATGTTGATTACGGTGCGGAGGAATTGGGCCTATTGCCTGTTGGGTGATCGGGAGACCAAGGTCCATTTGTAGGCCGGCCCAATGGTGGAGGTGAACATACACGGCGTCTGTAAAAGCGCACATGCACGGAAGTTTTCTCGTATTATACTGTCCAATTTTCTTTTTACATCCGAATACAAGGCATGGTCCATTGGAAACCGGATTTCGGTGATAACTAGCCCGTTGTACCTCCGAATGATTTTTCTTACACAACATACAGAAGATGACTATATTCGTAGATTTGAAAAATTCATACTAGTTTTGTTGGTACAAACGTGCCTTAGAGAAAGGCAACCTCACGATATATACTTGTAATTTTTCAGGAAATTCCTTCCAAAAAGTAATCACTTGCTCACGTTCATTGTTTTTAGCGTCTAATTTAAATGAAAATTGTCATTTACTGTTAATTAAACATTGGATATACCCATAAAGAGGGTTATTCATATAGGCGAAAAATGTACCCAGCCCGGAATGTACGAAACTTTGTGAGCTGATAGTACTAGTTGAGAGAGGCTTATCCCTAGCTCCGTTTTTGCAGGAACCCCAGGGAAACAGCGTTGCCATTTTTTAAAGTCGTAACCTTCAAACACCCATAACTTTCGCAGAAATGCAGTCACAGAGCTCGTATTTATACCAAAAGATGCAAAAAATTACGTTCT